GGTTGGTAGGGGGTGAGGCGGTCCCTCAGGTACATCGGCCCCAGACCATGCAAGGCCTTAAAGGTGAGTACCATCACTTTGAAAGTGATCCGGTGCTCAATTGGTAACCAATGCAGCTGTAGTAAGATTGGGGTTATGTGGCATCTCATCGGAATTCCCGCAAGAAGCCGAGCAGCTGCATTTTGTACCAACTTGAGCTTCTGGATCACCAACAGAGGAAGGCCAATGTAGAGGCGTTACAGTAGTCCAGTCTTGAGATGACCGTGGCCTGGATCACCGTAGCTAGGTCGTCCCTGGACAGGGAGGGGGCCAGCCGTCTAGCCTGCCGCAGGTGAAAAAAAGCGGTTCTGCTAACGGCGGAGACCTGGGCCTCCATCATCAGCAGAGGGTCCAAAAGGACTCCCAGACTCTTGACCAATGATGACGGGCGTAGCGCCTCGCCATCCAGGGTAGGCAGCTGGATGTCCCCACTGCCCGGTCGACCCAGCCATAGGATCTCCGTCTTTGCTGGATTCACCCTCAACCTGCTGGCACGCAGCCATCCAGTAACGGCCTCGAGGCACTGATGGAAACAATCGGGTACAGAGTCCGGTCGGCCTTCCATCTTCAGCACCAGCTGAGTGTCATCGGCGTACTGATAACACTCAAGCCCAAAACCTCGAACCAGCTGAGCAAGTGGTCGCATATAGATGTAAAATAACAGAGGGGAGAGAATGGCCCCCTGAGGAACCCCACAATATAGAGGGGACCTCTCAGAGACCAGGCCTCCCCTCTCCACTCGCTGTCCACGGTTGTGAAGAAAGGATATGTGATTCCTGCTTCTTGGCAGAATGGGTTGGACTGGATGGCCCATGAGGTCTCTTCCAACTCTAGGATTCTATGATTCTATAATTCTTGATCAGTGAGGGCATGTTCACCCACAGGTGGAAGGTGGTCCCAATTGGGGTTGGCTTGATGTGCCTTCCTCTTGGCACACTTCTCCCTTTCGCCCTCCATTCGTGCCTCTTCAAATTCTACAGCACTGCTGGTCACAGCTGACCTCCAGCTGGATCACTCAAGGGCCAGGGCTTCCCAGGTCTCAGTGTCTATGCCAGAGTTTTTAAGGTTAGCTTTGAGCCCATCTTTCAATCTGTTTTCCTGCTCACCAATGAATTCTATGAACAGAAAGATGGAGTAGCCTTGGAGAGCCCTCTCAGCCCAGTCATAGCAAATTTCCACATGGAACACTTTGGAAAACAAGCCCTGGAAACAGAAACAAAAAAGTCCACGACATGGTTGAGATATGGCTTCAAACTACAAGAAAGGAGATTCCATCTGAACATGAGAAAGAACTTCCTGACTGTGAGAGCCGTTCAGCAGTGGAACTCTCTGCCCCGGAGTGTGGTGGAGGCTCCTTCTTTGGAAGTTTTTAAAAAGAGGCTGGATGGCCATCTGTCAGGGGTGATTTGAATGCAATATTCCTGCTTCTTGGCAGGAGGTTGGACTGGAAGGCCCATGAGGTCTCTTCCAACTCTTTGATTCTATGATTCTATGTGGGTGACACCTTCACCATTTGGAGCCATGGAGAAGAAGAACTAAACAGGTTCCTGGACCACATCAACAGCATCCACACAAACATCCAATTCACCATGGAAAAAGAAAATGAAGGAAAACTGACATTTCTAGATCTCCTAGTCATATGGCAGGAATATTTTTAATATATACGTGTAATTGTGAAATTTATTACTTATGTTGTTTTGTTAATTTTGTTATGCTGTTTGTTTTGGTGATGTATGTTTTGGTGATGTTCCTTGGAAGCTGCTCTGAGTCCCCCTCGGGGAGATAAATGCAAAGTGTACAGTAAACCTATACACATGGATAGATACCTACATAAAAACTCCAACCTTCACCCAAGTAAAAAAAAAAAAGACACACAAAGTCCTGGCAGACCATGCAAAAAGTATCTGCGAAGCCCACCTCCTCCATGATGAACAAAACCACCTAAACTGGGCTCTCCAGGCCAATGGAGACTCCACCTCAGACATCAGAAGAGCTGCAAGACCGAGAACAAGCCACGAGAGTCAAGACAGAGATCCACCCAGAGGAAAAGTGTTCCTGCCATACATCAAGGGAACCACGGACAGCATAGGGAAGCTGAGGAAGAAACTCAACCTACAAACTATCTACTGGTCCACAAAGGAAATCCAACCAATGCTCCGTTCAGCAAAGAACAAGATCCAGGCAAGTCATGCAACCTGTCTATTCTGCCTTGGTTAGACCACACCTGGAATATCGTGTCCAATTCTGGGCACCACAATTCAAGAGAGATATTGACAAGCTGGAATGTGTCCAGAGGAGGGCGACTCAAATGATCAAGGGTCTGGAGAGCAAGCCCTATGAGGAGCGGCTTAAGGAGCTGGGCATGTTTAGCCTGAAGAAGAGAAGGCTGAGAGGAGACATGATAGCCATGTATAAATATGTGAGAGGAAGGCATAGGAAGGAGGGAGCAAGCGTGTTTTCTACTGCCCTGGAGACTAGGACGCAATGGGACAATGGCTTCAAACTACAAGGAAGGAGACTCCATCTGAACAGGTTCGCAGCTTGGGTGTGATCCTGGATTTATCGCTGAGCCTGGAGCCCCAGGTCTCGGCGGTGACCAGGGGAGCATTTGCACAGCTTAGGCTCGTGCGCCAGCTGCACCCATACCTTGGGAAGTCTGACTTGGCCATGGTGGTCCACACTCTGGTTACATCCCGTCTAGACTACTGCAACGCTCTCTACGTGGGGTTGCCCTTGAAGATGGCCCGGAAGCTCCAACTGGTCCAACGTGCGGCAGCCATGATACTAACAGGAGCAGGGCGAGGGGGCATACAACTCCCCTGCTGTACCAGCTCCACTGGCTGCCGATCTGCTACCGGGCTCAATTCAAGGTGCTGGCATTGGCCTATAAAGCCCTAAACGGTTCCGGCCCAAGATACCTACCTGACCGCCTCTCGGCCTATGAGCCCACGTGGACTTTGAGATCTTCCGGGGAGGCCCTGCTCTCGATCCCGCCTGCGTCTCAGACATGGCTGGCGGGGACGAGAGATAGGGCCTTCACCTTGAATGCCAGCACCTTGAATTGAGCCCGGTAGCAGATCGGCAGCCAGTGGAGCTGGTACAGCAGGGGAGTTGTATGCCCCCTCGCCCCGCTCCTGTTAGTATCATGGGCCTTCTCGGTGGTGGCTCCTCGGCTGTGGAACACCCTTCCTGTAGACATCAGGTTAGCCCCCTCCCTGTTGGGCTCCTTCTTTTGAGGTTTTCAAACAGAGGCTGGATAGCCATCTCTCAGGGGGTGCTTTGAATGTGATTTTCCTGCTTCTTGGCAGAATACGGTTGGACTGGATGGCCCACCAGGTCTCTTCGAACTCTATGATTCTATGATTCCATTTCTGGTTACAAAAATGTGAGTCAAGCACTGAAAGGGTTAAATGGATACAGTGACTCTGAGAAGCTGTGGTTCAATATAAGCAGGTGTGCATGTTGCTTAATAACGCCTCAATCTAAGAGAGAACTCTCAGTGTGAGAGAAGCCTCTCTATGTGAGAGATCACCTCAGTGGGAGAATAGGCCTCATTGTTAGCAGGCCTCATTCTGAGGTAGGCCTCAGTATTAAATGGATGCAGTGACTCAGAGAAGCTGTGGTTCAATATAAGCAGGTGTGCGTGTTGCTTAGTAACGCCTCAGTCTGAGAGAGCTCTCAGTGTGAGAGAAGCCTGAGAGAGCTCTCAGTGTGAGAGAAGCCCCATTGAGGTGTGAGAGATCACCTCAATGGGAGAATAGGCCTCATTGTTAGCAGGCCTCATTGTGAGGAAGCCTCAGTATTAAATGGATGCAGTGACTCAGAGAAGCTGTGGTTCAATATAAGCAGGCATGCCTGTTGCTTAGTAATGCCTCAGTCTGAGAGAGCTCTCAGAGTGAGAGAAGCCTCTCTGTGTGAGAAATCACCTCAGTGGGAGAATAGGCCTCATTGTTAGCAGGCCTCATTGTGAGGTAGGGCTCAGTATTAAATGGATTAAGTGACTCAGAGAAGTTGTGGTTCAATATAAGCAGGCATGCCTGTTGCTTAGTAACGCCTCAATCTGAGAGAGTTCTCGGTGTGAGAGAAGCCTCTCTGTGTGAAAGATCACCTCAGTGGGAGAATAGGCCTCATTGTGAGGTAGGCCTCAGTGTTAAATGGATGCAGTGACTCAGAGAAGCTGTGGTTCAATATAAGCAGGCATGCCTGTTGCTTAGTAACGCCTCAGTCTGAGAGAGCTCTTAGTGTTAGAGAAGCCTCTCTGTGTGAGAGATCACCTCAGTGGGAGAATAGGCCTCATTGTTAACAGGACTCATTGTGAGGTAGACCTCAGTATTAAATGGATGCAGTGACTCAGAGAAGCTGTGATTCAATATAAGCAGGCATGGTTGTTGCTTAGTAACGCCTTAGTCTGAGAGAGCTCTCAGTGTGAGAGAAGCCTCTCTGTGTGAGAGATCACCTCAGTGGGAGAATAGGCCTCATTGTTAGCAGCCTCATTGTGAGGTAGGCCCCAGTATTAAATGGATGCAGTGACTGAGAGAAGTTGTGGTTCAATATAAGCAGGCATGCCTGTTGCTTAGTAACGCCTCAGTTTGAGAGAGCTCTCGGTGTGAGAGAAGCTTCTCTGTGTGAAAGATCATCTCAGTTAGGAGAATAGACCTCATTGTTAGCAGGCCTCATTGTGAGGTAGGCCTCAGTATTAAATGGTATCAGTGACTCAGAGAAGCTGTGGTTCAATATAAGCAGGCATGCCTGTTGCTTAGTAACACCTCAGTCTGAGAGAGCTCTCAGTGTGAGAGAAGACTCTCTGTGTGAGAGAGGCTTCTTTCACACAGAGATAAGAGGGTTGGACTGGATGGCCCATTAGGTTTGTTCCAACTCTATGATTCTTTGATTCAATCATATTATCTAATAAGAAAAACAGCAGCACATAAAAACATTCACACACAAAAGAAGCACAGTACCTTCTTTCCAGTTTGGGGCTACGCCTCCGAGACTGGGAAGGCCTCCCTCCTCTGGGTATCCCCTTGCTCAAATGGCTGTCATTGCGTCCTCCCGAGGGGACTCCCATTCGAAAGCTGGCCCGGGAGGCCTCCTCATTCCTGTGAAGAGGCACTGATGTCCGAATGGCGGAGATAACGTGCCCGGAGTAAGGGCTGAGCTGCTGTTCTTGGTGAGGAGGTTGCTGGTGAGGAGCCAAGGTTCGTTCAGGGGCTGCGTATTGCCCCGGCCTACGATAGTTCCTCTCGTAATAATATCCCGGGAGGCAAGGTCTCGTTTGCTCCATCACTCCGCCGCTGCAGCTTCTAGAGCAAGCCGACCAGGGTCCCCAGCTGCCCCATACGCCTGGGATCCCTCCATTGTCTTCTTCTGCGGCAGTGTTTTGCTCTTCTATCCTCTGGGGCACCTAGAGAGAGAGAGAAATTCAGCATGACCACAATTTAATGAATTTTGGGGTTCGGGAAAAAACTCACACTGAATAGTATCTTGTAGGCCAATCCCAACCCACTGAATTGAGTTAAGTCAACATATAGAGCAGGCGTGGGTGAACTTCGGCCCCCCAGGTGTTTGTTCCTACAGGCTGTTGAAGTCCAAAACACCTGGAGGGGTGAAGGTTATCCATGCCTGATATAGATCAACCAGGTTCAAGCTCCATCATGCCCTGACCCAGTAGCTGATGAGATCCACAATCTCTGTATTCCAACTTCTATTGCCCTGACTTTTGAGGGGCAGAAAAGTAGCTAGGCACAGCTCCATCATGCTCTGGTCCCAACAGCTGGAGAAAGGCCCTCCATCCATCCATTCCAACTGCCACCACCCTGGCTTTGGAAGGAGAAAAGAGCAGCCACAGTTCCATGATGCCCTGACACCAGCCATTTATGATCCATTACAAGTGCTACTACCTTGAGATTAGAGGAAGAGAAGCACATCAAAACACAATTCCTATAGCTGAGGGAAGACCCTCCATCCATCCCAACAGCCACCACACTGGCCTTGGAAGAGCATCCAGACATAGTTCCATGATGACCTGACTCCAGCCACTGATGGAAGGCCCTTCATCCATCCCAAGTGCCATCACACTGATGTTAGAGGAAGAGAAGAGCATCAAGATACAGCTCCAATCGTTGATGAAAGGCCCTCCATCCATCCATCCATCCATCCATCCATCCATCCATTCCAACTGCCAACAACCTGGCCTTTGAAGGAGAAAAGAGCAGCCACAGTTCCATGATGTCCTGATGCTAGCCACTGATGGAAGGCCCTCCATCCATCACACGTGCTACTACCCTGAGACTAGAGGAAGAGAAGAGCATCAAGATACAGCTCCAATAGTTGATGGAAGGCCCTCCATCCATCCATCCCAACTGCCACCAGCCTGGCCTTGGAAGGAGAAAAGAGCAGCCAGACACAGTTCCATTATGCCCTGACTCCAGCCGCTGATGGAAGGCCCTTCATCCATCCTAAGTGCCACCACCCTGGCGTTAGAGGAAGAGAAGAGCACCAAGACACAGCTCCAACAGCTGATGGAAGGCTCTCCATCCATCTATCCATTCCAACTGCCACCACCCTGGCCTTGGAAGGAGAAAAGAGCAGCCACAGTTCCATGATGCCCTGACTCCAGCCACTGATGGAAGGCTCTTCATCCACCCCAAGTGCCACCACCCTGAGATTAGAGGAAGAGAAGTGCATCAAAGCAGAGTTCCAACAGCTGATGAAACGCCGCCCGTCCATCCATCCCAACTGCCACCACCCTGGCCTTGGAAGGAGAAAAGAGTAGCCACAGTTCCATGATGCCCTGACTCCAGCAATTGATGGTAAGCCCTCCATCCATCCCAAGTGCCACCACCCTGAGATTAGAGGAAGAGAAGTACATCAAAGCAGAGTTCCAACAGCTGATGAAACGCCGCCCGTCCATCCATCCCAACTGCCACCACCCTGGCCTTGGAAGGAGAAAAGAGTAGCCACAGTTCCATGATGCCCTGACTCCAGCAATTGATGGTAAGCCCTCCATCCATCCCAAGTGCCACCACCCTGAGATTAGAGGAAGAGAAGTACATCAAAGCAGAGTTCCAACAGCTGATGAAACGCCGCCCGTCCATCCATCCCAACTGCCACCACCCTGGTCTTGAGGGAGAAAAGAGCAGCCGGACACAATTCCATGATGCCCTGACCCCAGGAATTGATGGTAAGCCCTCCATCCATCCCAAGTGCCACCACCCTGAGATTAGAGGAAGAGAAGTACATCAAAGCAGAGTTCCAACAGCTGATGAAACGCCGCCCGTCCATCCATCCCAACTGCCACCACCCTGGTCTTGAGGGAGAAAAGAGCAGCCGGACACAATTCCATGATGCCCTGACCCCAGGAATTGATGGTAAGCCCTCCATCCATCCCAAGTGCCACTACCCTGAGATTAGAGGAAGAGAAGTACATCAAAGCAGAGTTCCAACAGCTGATGAAACGCCACCCGTCCATCCATCCCAACTGCCACCACCCTGGTCTTGAGGGAGAAAAGAGCAGCCGGACACAATTCCATGATGCCCTGACCCCAGGAATTGATGGTAAGCCCTCCATCCATCCCAAGTGCCACCACCCTGAGATTAGAGGAAGAGAAGTGCATCAAAGCAGAGTTCCAACAGCTGATGAAACGCCGCCCGTCCATCCATCCCAACTGCCACCACCCTGGTCTTGAGGGAGAAAAGAGCAGCCGGACACAATTCCATGATGCCCTGACCCCAGGAATTGATGGTAAGCCCTCCATCCATCCCAAGTGCCACTACCCTGAGATTAGAGGAAGAGAAGTACATCAAAGCAGAGTTCCAACAGCTGATGAAACGCCACCCGTCCATCCATCCCAACTGCCACCACCCTGGTCTTGAGGGAGAAAAGAGCAGCCGGACACAATTCCATGATGCCCTGACCCCAGGAATTGATGGTAAGCCCTCCATCCATCCCAAGTGCCACCATCCTGAGATTAGAGGAAGAGAAGCGCATCAGAGCACAGTTCCAACAGCTGATGGTAGGCCCTCCATCCATCCCAACTGCCACCACCCGGGTCTTAGAGGGAGAAAAGAGCAGCCGGACACAATTCCATGATGCCCTGACCCCAGCAATTGATGGTAGGCCCTCCATCCATCCTAACTGTCACCACCCTGAGCTTATTTGAAGAGAAGAGCACCAAGACACAGCTCCATCATGTCCTGGCTCCAGAGGCTAATGATATCCCCTTCCTCTGGAGTCCAACTTCCGTTGCCCTAGCCTCTGTGAGTATGGAGAGCAGCCAAGGACACATATCCACAAGCCATTGATGCTGGTTTTACCGAATGCTAGTGATTTAATCTCTTTGCATTGTGCAAAGTGATTTATTTAATACACAAGCAGTTAGTCAACAGTGTAGGTTGAAGGAATTTGCAAGCTCCGCTGCCAAAAAGTTGGAAGCGACTCAGAAGTCAAGAGAATGAATAACTCCAGAGCGAAGAATGCCAAAATACGGTAGGTAAAGAGACAACTGTTTGAAGTCTGCTTGGCAGGGACTTGAAACAGTCCCATAATGAGACTGGAGCAGCCACCACACACACAAAACACAACACCAGCATCCAACCGTGGAGTCACAATTAATACCAATTTCTCTTCCCAATGAGATTTCATGTGGGAGTATCAATCAGGTATAAACCAGCCCTAGAAGACAGGTGGGTTTGTATAGAATGCCATTATATTCCCATTTTCTGGTTATTTATAGCACGTATATATTGCCTTTCTGTCAACACACTTAAGGTGTTTTACAGTTCAGTGACTTCGAATTGAATAGCCATGGGACAAAGTGGAAGAGAGCCCAAGAGGCATGCAAATGGCTGATAACAATCCATTTCGGAGTGAGACATTTTTTGTTCAGTCTGCTCTATTCCACTATAATCATGAAAAATTGCATTGAACTATGGCCAAGATTTTATACAGGGGTTGCATAGCATAAATCTCCAAGGGGCACTAATTGTGTTACACAATGCTTGTGTCGAAAAGCAGTATTTTTCAATTGAATGAAGGAACCAAATGGGTAACTAATACAAATACACATCTGTGTTCCGTATGCATCAATAACTCTCTGTGCACCTTCAGATCAATGCATATCTATGCTCAATGTGTCGTTCAAATCCATCTATATAAATAAAAATGTAATGTTCGTTTGTGGGATTAACCGAACTCAAAAACCACTGGATGGATTGACACCAAATTTGGACACAAGACACCTATCAGGCCATTGAAAAACACAGCAGAAGAGACTTAAAGAGCCAAAAAACAAAAATAGGTTACAACGCATGCGTAAAACTACATATAAAATGCAAACACACACATACACAAATATACACACATATACGCACACAAAACACATATACACAGACTGGGCTGAGAGATATTGGCAAGCTGGAATGTGACCAGACCCAAATGATCAAGGGTCTGGAAAAGAAGCCCTATGAAGAGCGGCTTAAAGAGCTGGGCATGTTTAACCAGAAGAGAAGGCTGAGAGGAGATATGATAGCCATGTGTAAATATGTGAGAGGAAGCCACAGGGAGGAGGGAGCAAGCTTGTTTTCTGCTTCTCAGGAGTCTAGGACGCAATGGAACAATGGCTTCAAACTACAAGAGAGGAGATTCCATCTGAACATGAGGAAGAACTTCCTGACTGTGAGAGCCGTTCAGCAGTGGAACTCTCTGCCCCGGAGTGTGGTGGAGGCTCCTTCTTTGGAAGCTTTTAAACAGAGGCTGGATGGCCATCTGTCAGGGGTGATTTGAATGCAATATTCCTGCTTCTTGGCAGAATGGGGTTGGACTGGATGGCCCATGAGGTCTCTTCCAACTCTATGATTCTATGGGCCACATCAGCTTGTGGCAGGGGATGGCTAGTCTATATAAATAAAAATGTTATGTTTGTTTGTGGGATTAACATAACTCAAAAAACCCTGGACCAATTGCCACCCAATTTGGACACAAGACACTCACTAACCCAAGGAGTGGAAGATTAATTTTTGGTGGAAGATTAATCTATATACACAAAAATGTAATGTTCGTTTGTGGGATTAACATAACTCATAAACCACTGGACGAATTGTTGCCAAATTTGGCCACAAGACAACTACTAACCCAAGGAGTGGCCATCACTCAAAAAAAAAACCACTGAAAAACACAACAGAAGAGACTTAAAAAGCAAAAAACTGATTTTGTCATTTGGTAGTTGTAGTTGCTGGGATTTTTAGTTCCCCTACAATCAAAGAGAATTCCGAACTCCACCAACGATGGAATTGAACCAAACGTGGCACACAGAATTCCCATGACCAACAGAAAACACTTGAAGGGTTTGGTGGGCATTGACCTTGATTTTGGGAGTTGTAGTTCACCTACATCCAGAGAGCACT